TTAATACAGATTTTCTGTAGTATGATGTACATTGAAAAATGTGCTTTTTAGTACTGTTAAAAACATTGTATGGTGGGGATCCCCTGTAACATGTAAAGTTATAGCAGTAGGGCACGTCAGGTAATGTTGAGAAAAAATATATTGCCCACTTTTTTTGGTGATTGTTATTGCCACCGGTTAGTGGTAAAACTAAATACTTGTATTAACCCTGTTCTGAAATAATGTAGTCTGAAATAAACAACTGTGCCAATAAGGAAAGCTTTTCTGTCAAAGTTAAAGCCCTGCTTAAATGCATGATACACCTGTAAAATTAGTTTACAGTATATAATGTTCAGGGAAAAAAAGTGGGGAAGAAATCATTATCTTTGAAGTAATTGTATGAGCGACTTACAAACTAGCAATGTTTTAGTGTTAAGTTTGGTCCTCACACAGTACAGTGTAGTGTATTTGGAGACATGTTGGAAGAGAAATTGCATGGAGGATACCACAGATGTGAAAGCAAAAGTCTCAGTTATAAAAATACAAGATAGTTTTAAATCGAATGCAACTGCAGAAGAAGAACCCAAAGTAGCCTGAAATGCTTACTTCGTTTGGATGCGAAATAACAGAAACCAAGCTTTAAAAAAAAATAAATTAAGAATCCCCATAATTGCACACACGCACAGAAAATGCAAACCAGCATTCTGAAGAAGATGGTGTACTGGCACGTGGAAATCACTCTTAATTTCTATTTTTAAGTTCTCATGCTACAGATAGATTTGGAAGGTAAGGAATGATCTGAAATTGCATTCCAAAGGGGCTTTTCCTGAATGTGATGCACTGATTTTTGTTATGGTGTTTTCATATACTCATAGTGAATTGTTCACTGCTTCCTTAACTATTGTTTACAGAGAGACAGAGACTGAGAATCAGGTTAGTTCTCTTATAAGTGCTGTAGCAACCCAGTGGTTCGAGGAACCTGTGAGGGGAGTTTGGGGAGGGACCTGAAAACAGATGTCTGAGACCAGTGTAAAGAATGTGTATCTGTATATAAATAATTTATCAAATAGTTTTCTCTCTGTGAGTGTGTGTTTAGTGTATTTAAAGCTGCTCATTTTCATTTTATTCAACCAAAAAAGTGTAGGAAGATATCTAATGAGCTTTTAGTGATGTTCAATATTGCTGTTAATAGGCATTATGCCCTGCAAATTCACTGCATGTTTGATGCTTGGCAAAATTAGCGTTTTCTGTAATATGCAGATTACAGGTAATAAAGCAATCTAGTGGTATTCCTGGCCCTTGCCTTAGTAAGAGAAGCAGTGAAACTGTAAATAGTTGATGTTCAGTATTTGCAAGTAAACATTTTTTCTGTAGTTGTTCATTGATCTCAAGACACACACTTAGTTTGCAAGTACCAGATATCAGGATTTACAGAAGTGCAGCATTACAGTACTTGAATGTTTAATACTGGAAAAATCAACATCATTCTTGGACACAGTTTTAACAGGAGAGGTTTGGGTATAGGGGTGGCAAAAAGCTTTTGCTATTGTTGTCAGACAAAATTTGTAATCCTAACAAAGAACACGTCCTATTTCAGTGAAAACAGTTGACTTCAGTTATTCATATTTTTTCCTAATCAGAAAAAAGCATGAAGACTTTACAGTGTAGTTTCTTTAAATCACCAATGATCTTCTGCATATTTGTTCTTTTTTTATTCTTTATTTCCACATTTCTGTTGGGGGTCAGTTGACTTGAGGAGTTTCAATACACTTTATTAAATATTGCCTAGCCACCAGGAGAGCAGTTCAGTACATGATACAAGTTTTGGTTTTAGTTGCCCAGTAGCATTAACTGCCACGAATTGTGTCATGCACTCCATGTCAAATATGTTTTAAAAGAAGAGGTGACCTTTGGAAGCACATAGTAAGTTCTGCACTATTTACTTATCAGTAGCTCTCTGGTGACAGTTTTGTTGAGACCTGCAGAATTTGAACAATAGTAGGTAATTGTGAAAAGTAACATGCATATATGGATTTGGGATGTATGATGTTTCCAGTGCAAAATAGAACTTGTCTTGAGTAACACTGAATTGTTTATGAAATCGTAAAGCAAGCAGGGCGGAGCCAACTATGCATTTTTCTGTCAAGTTATCAAACTTAAAATTCACTTGTTGAACCAAAACTGCATTGCTTCTGAAACTTAACAAAGTTGATCCAGACCAACAGCAGATCAGACCAACTTAATCTGACATAGGTAGAATAAATAGGAATTTTGTCTTGGCCCTAAACATGTGCTGTTTCTTTGCAGGTTTTTGTATTCTTTGATGTTCACCAGATTTTTTTTTTTTCAAATAATGTGTAAAACAGCATCACTACATTTTAAGCTATGGATTCTTTTGTATATTCTTTATTTATAACTGTGCCAAGTATTATTTTAATACTGTCAAGATCTTGATGTGTATTACATTGTGAACAAAAAAAAAATCTGTAAAATGTTTAATAAATTAGCTCTCCTTACATAAATTAAATCTGTTAAATTTTGTAAGTTATTAATCAAATAAATATTGACTCTTAGATGCAGTGTTTGTCTTGACTTGGGATGTGATTTCATACAGTGTTGTTTCTGCCCAGTTTCAGAAGCCGTACCGTGAAAAAATAGCTGTCGTCTTGCAGCTTATTTTAGTAAAGTCTTTCTGAAAGACATACAGGTGTCTTGCAGATAGCATGCACCCAGTTCTGTGCAGATGTGAGATCCTGTGAGCTACTACCCTGGATTTTGGTAAAGTATACCTTTGTACTACCAGTTAAAGTTACCATTCACTAATTAGATATTCCTGTCTTTTGAGCAAAGCATGCTGGCAAGGTAATGTTTCTGAAGGGAGAATTCCATCTAGGGAATGTTTCAGGTGGCCAAAGGTATGTATTTAATGACATTTGAGGTATTCTAAGGGTAAAAGAGACATCCACATAAGGCTAGGAGGTGTTACCAAGATGTATGCTTCTAGGTGGCACTTACAAGAGACAGACTACCAATTACCCTGACTCTTCTGGTCCGTGCTGTTTGAATAGAAACAAGGTAACAGTCCAAGTTGGAATTTAATCAAGATATTTATAATCAGGAACGTATATTAAAGTATAAGGCTAGGACTTAAGAGCACACCTAAAGGGGAGAAAAAAGTCTGTTTTCTACTGAGTGTGGTTTCAGTGTTGACACTGAGAATTGTTGGTGCTGTTCTCCCCCAAGCAATGTTCTGGTGAGGCTGTGTCCAGGCTCACCTCTGCTGACCACCCTTTTGGCTTGTCTGGTAAAGACCAGGGAAGGTACTTTTAAAAAAAAAAAAGACATTTTACCTTCTGTGCTGAAGGTCTCCATTTAAGATTTGCAGTGCTCCATCAGAACAGTTGCTGCACTTGGGAGGTATGGGTGGGCTCCTGATGACTTGAAAGCTGGTTCTTGGGTTTGTTTTACTTGGGAAGAAGCCTGCCCTCCGCATCCTCATTATGGCTTGATTAGAGTTCAGTGCCTTGACCTCCCATTAGCTGCCTTTAAGTAAAATCAGATGGTTTTGCTATGAAAGCAATGCCTGCAGTATGAGTAGCAGGGTCAAAGGTTTCTGCCCAGGTTTCCTAGGCTGTGCCTTTGCTTGCTTCCTAACTCCCACCTGAAATGTGTGCTGCTTCTGCCTGTCTTTTCCAGTTCTGATCTTTCCCTCTCTGTGAACTGAGTCTGTTTTTCCTCCTATCCACATGGTTCCTTTGTAACCTGTACAGAATGCTTTTCATGTATTATTTTGAGTAATATGTATTTTTCTAATTAGGCTTTTGGCTTCCATTGCTTCACTGCCTCAGACCACGGTTGCTGGAAACTGCCTTAGACCACACTGACACACTTGTTCACTTGCTTAATGTTTTCTTGCAGCATTCCCAGTCTTGAATGTGTTTCCATAAATTCACTTGTGAAGGGTTCTTTTTTTTCCTAAAAAAAAAAGAATCTTTTTTTTTTTTTTTTTTAACTAACTTCTGTTTTGCACAATGAGGGTTGAAACTTCTCTCCTGTTGAGAAGGTGGCTCCTGCTTGCTTCACAAGAAGTTCAAGTGTGGGTGCTGTGAGCTCAGTCAGGCCTTAGGGGTGGGGGCTGCTCCAGCTGCTAAAAGAAGCCAAGCTCTTCTGTGAGCTTTCCACTCGAGATCTGGCTAAGGCACAAGTAGTTGTCCCCTACTCATAGACCTTTATTGGCAACAGTTCCTAAAGCGTTGGGTTAGCAGAGTGAAGGGTGAAGGCCCTAGTTTGGCTTTCACCCACCTGCTGTGTTCACAGGGAGCAGATCTACACTGCCTTCAATGCATTTAATTGCAATTACTCCTTGCTCATCAGCTTCAGTTCAAGTCACGTTTTGAAGGCAGAATTTTCTTCTGCTCTATTGTTGGGCTGCAGTTGCTTTGTCAGGTATTGTCTTCAAGAGGCCAAAACCCTCCCCCATTTTCAGGGAGCTAGGAGTCCTAGCACTACGAAGAAAAGGTCAAAAGTTGCTCTTAGACCCAAGTTGGATATGATAGCCCAGAGCTTGGCCAGCTGCTGAGGAGGGATGGTATTAATCTGCAGCTGTCTTGGTGGAGTATTATGTGCATAACAGCACCTCAATACTGAAGCACATGCAACCCCACAGAATATTATGGTGCAAATGGTTTGTTTTTCATTTACTAGAGACTGTGGCAGAGACATGCAGCAGTTCAGGCACACAGCTACCCATTGTCTATCACTTTCAGAGCTATGTCACTGTACAGAGCAGTAGATTAAGATTTACTACTATGCAGTGAGCAGCTCGTTGCCTTGCACGTGCATATATAATGGTGTGATACTGGAGGACAGGCATTCACCTCTGAAGACCACAACCCCTGCTCTGTATGTCCAGCTTTCAGCAAAGGTCTGCACCAAGTCTGTAAGCATCGTATCTCCACCCCTGAGCTGCCCCAGCAACACTCCCCTCACCTTTGTTGCTGACAAAGCAAGCAACACTCCGCTTTAGGATATATCAACAAGCAAAGCTTTATTGAATTGATACTCAGTATTAAAAGTGTTACAGTGTGATACACAAAGCAAGGAAAAAAGCAGTGGTTGTGGGTTTTTTTAAAATCATCTTCAGAATGTTATACCCAAGCACTACAGTAACTAGTATCTGTTTCACAGTAGTTAGTAACAGTTAGGAAAGGAAACCCTCTTGTTCCTTCTAGCAGGATCTCAGCAGAGCAGTAAGGGGTTTTTAGCCCACTCACTGGGCGTGAACAAGGGCACCCGCTCCCTGGCCATACCCAAATCCCTTGGGGCCAAAGTTCTTTGCGTAGCAACCTGCAAGAAAGATGAACATGTAGTAGCTGAGTCTTCTCTGGCACGTTAATTAAGAACAGCACTGTCTAGGCTAAGCCCTCAGCTGCTTCCCCCTAGTCACTAGAACATCCCCGTGGGACGCAACACTTAAAAACATTTTGTTAAACTGCATTAACTGCCCTGACTGAACTCAGTAGCCAGGCCTGTTCAGTCCATGTAGCTCCCAACCCGCTCTGTGAAGGTAACTCACATGTTGGTTCTGTGCTCGTTATCTGTTAAGGCATTTGTTGTCATCAAACCACAGTATCTAATATCACATATCAAGTTTATATCCACAATATCACGCAAGAAGGCATGGCAGGATGCTTGCTGGTTTGTCTCCTTACTGTGATCTGCTCTCTGACCCAGGCACAGGGCACAAGCTGCTGCATCACTCAGTATGGGATGTTTTGCTTGATGCAGATGTCAGCATCAGCAGCTTCAGTAATATTTATTTCATTTTTCAGCTCTATTCCTATGACTTACAGAGCACTTCCATCTTGACATGAGCCTGAAAGTTTCTTATACCAGGACTAAACTAACAATCCATCCCTGTAACATATTACCTTGAACCATAAACAAGTGACCTTTGTTTCTTTCCTCACCTTTACAATAGATTTCTCCCTCTTTTTCCGTTAGGGTTGTAGATTCTAGGCTTTTTCCACACTTGGCACATCGGAAGCAGTTTTTGTGCCATGGCTAGGGAAAAAATAAAAAGCAGAAAGATAGTATAAGTACACATGATATCTGAATTGGTAAAAAACCCATATTAACTGGAAATATCTGCATCAGTGTTGTTTTTATATGACTGGTACAATAAAAAACAGTTGAAGTGCACCAATAGCAGACAAGAGCATCTGCATTTCTGTGAGTGGCCCAAAGCCTCAAATTCCACACAGCATCCTGCTCAGAGCAGCATTTTGAAAGGTTTGGGCTTGCTCTGATCAATTCAGAGCAGATCTTGGCTCTCTGTAGCAAGTCAGACAGCTGGCAGCCTGACACATGGTTTTACATGGTATTTTCAGAGAACATTCCCTTTCTGCTGAAACATTCAGCCTCCTTCACAAGCTGCACACCTCACAGGACTGTTCCCTCTTCTGAGGGAGAGGGCTTCTGCAGTCTGCTTCAAGTCTGGCATGAGATGATATTGAATCTTCACCTTTGAAATCTAAGGTGATCGCTCATCGACCTGCATTTCAAGTACTTTTTGTTCCATGAAGTTGATTGATTTGACTGTTTCCGATGCTAAGAAATGTGATTTTAAGGTAACAGCCCTGCAGTTGGTTCCCTACTGGGACCCACATAACACACCTTGCTCACTTTAAGTCCATGCAGCAAGTACAAAACAGCACAAGCAGTTCCTTACCTTTCCAGCTCCTATTACTTTCTCTGCTGCATAAACAGAATCACCACACCTTGAGCATTTCTCTGCCCCTCCAAATTTCTGAGCAAACTTTGAAGGGTTTGGATTTGTAGTGGGCCGGTGAGGAGAAGGTGTGCTGAAAGAAATAGGACATTTGTTGTCTCTACTCTTTTACTAAATGACCTCTTGCTCTTTTTAGCAACACAAATACGTGTTGCAGCATCCAACACGTGCTATAGTACTTTTGCAAAACAGGAGGAGTAAGTTAGCAGCAAGGCTATCCAATTACACCTGGTGGGGAGAAACGCCAAAACCACAACAACAAAAAGAGAACGGCCATGCTTCAGTGGATAAAAAGAAGCTCCTGTAAAGGCTAGTTTTCTGAGGAACCTTCCCCTTTTCACTTCTCTAGAAGTGCTGAATTCTGTATTAGGACATGGATTTTTCACATAGTAAGCTACAAATAATTCTGTTAAATTTCTGTCTACTGATCATAATCTGGAACCTGAACGGATCACTGAACCTGGCTGGTGAGCATGCATCATACAAACACTAAGCAATAATTTGAGAACTTGCATGAAGCAAGTTATCGGGCATACCTCAGCTTCTTTCCACATGCTTTGCTTTACAGCAAGAACTTAATCAGACTAGGAATGTTTACTATTTAATGGGCCTTTTGATTTTGGCTACCATTAAGCACAAATGGTTCTTCATTTGCCAGTTAAAAATTCATTCTTCTTGTAGCCCCAGATTTCCAGCTGTCCAAATCCATGTCCAATGCTGAACATTTGCATTTCCAGCTTATTTAGGAGAGTGCCCCGACACTGGGAGTCACCTCTGTGGGCTCATGCAGAGCAATCAGCAGCTCCGTAATCCAGTCCCCTATAGCTCATGCATAGGATTAGTGCATCCTTGCCTGCACTAACTCCTGCTTGTACTGTTCCTACTCACATAGTCACCAGTGGGAGCTTTGTGTAGCACAGGTTAAATGCCCTGCATTGAGCTAGACTGGCGTATTTTGCAGCATTCCAATTCCAAACAACATGAAGTAAACAAAATCCATCTTGAAAGACTCCTCTGAAAACAGTACTAAAGGACAAGGGCGCCTCTGAACTCAGTTCACTCACCTCTCAGGCTTGATGCCTAGTCGCTCTCCCCTATCCATGTTCAGTGTTCCTGCTCCTTGACCATATCCATAACCTTTTGGGCCATACTTTTTCCCATAGCAAGATTTGCAGTAAACTTCAGCATCATGAATCGCTACAGTTGTGCTGTCCAAGTTTTTCCGGCAGACCACTGGAAGAAAAAAAGAGTTAAACTGCCTTAAGGCAGTTTCCATCAGCACACATAGTAAGCCAAAAATCAAGTGAGAAGTGATGTTATGGGTTTCCCTGTCCACAATTCTTCTCATTGGGCTGTGGGACCACCAGAGATTAGAGGGAGCAAGTTGCCCTTTGAATTCGTGAATTATGCTTAGCTCTGTAAAGGGCTGTATTCCCTCCCACCTCTTCATGACCATGACATTTAAAGCCTGGAAACTTGCTGTGGTTTGATGAATGAGGCTGCTCAGAAATCCAGAGAGGGCAGTCAGCAGTTTCCCTTGACAGATGCCATACAGCATGAAGCAAAAGCCTATCAGTACAGAAGAACCCCTGTCCTGCCCTTTTTGCCAGGGTGGGGCTGGGGAAAAAAAACAAACCTTCAAGGTTCCCCCACCCTCATCCGCCTCAGTTCTGCTTCTGGACTGAGCTGGGGCTGGTTCACAGCTGTCACCGGAGGGGCTGTGCTTTTCTGGCATTCCTACATTGTCCTTCGGCACAATGCAAGCACTCTACTCAAGGTTACAGTAGAAGGGAGAACTATTTCCTTCTTAAACCTCCTTTTGTGTGCCAACTGCATGCTCTTTCCATCTGCAACAGCATTATGCCCGTGATAAAGAATTTGGGATGAAAAAAAAGAAATGGCCTTATGAATTTTTTGTTTAAAAAGAATTTTAGTGTCTTCAAAACACTGGCTGACCTTTGCTTATGGCATTCATTAGCTCCAAGGTTCTTTTTATAAGACAAAAATATCCAATAAATAAATCAACTAATGCATGTTTGTTAAGTCTACAGACTTTAACCCCAACAGAACTATGCACTAAGGAAAAGCATATATTCAGACACAGTAGAGCCATTGTTTGACTGTAAGTTCCAGGTTTCTTTTAATAGTAACTCCCATAAAAGGCTGAAAATGAGGCAGCCAAGACATCTAATCTTTGTTTTTTGTGACTGCAGTAGAGCTAAGGGAAAGGAGCATAGGTGTGCTGAGGCTCTCAGTGCCAGCACAGCGTGCTGACATTGGGCAGCAGACTAACAGTAAACTTGCTTGAGGGGGACAGTTGTAACTGCAGCTTAGATGAAGAGACCTAAACCCAAGCTCTGCCCATATGTATTAATCACCAGCAAGTGGGGCAAAACACTACTTCATGTTCGCAACAAGGTAAAATTCTCTGATTCAGACAGACAGGCTGTCTGTTTGCAAAGTAGGAGCCTCTGATTCACAGGGACCCTTTGTTCCCTTCATCTAAGCAGAGGTCTTTTCAGCAGAGAAAGCAGTTTTCAATGCCTCGCTAGGCTTGTTGGTTGGACTGGAAAATAATGCTTTGGACTCCTTTCATCTGAAATAAACCACAGGCTCCTGTGCCAAGAAAATTTAGGCTTTTGGCTGAGCTAAAGCATCAACAACTCAGCTGTGCTCAAGCACGCTGGTGTCCTGGTCTGTGCAGGACACCAGGGCAGCAGTTTGATAACTGTTCCTTCAGCTACTGCCAGCCCCAAGACCACCAGGAGAAGCCCAGCTGAGCTCAGATCAGTGCAAATGGAGCTCTGCCACTGGGCTTTTTCCTCTGCATGAGCAACACTTAAGCTAAGTTTCCAACCTAAAGAACCCTCAGACTCTTGAGGAAAAGGCTGGCAAGAGTGCAAATGGAAGAGAAAAATCATGATGTGCTCCGAGAGGTGCATCCCACTCCTTACACACTGGATAGGTAGGATAATACCTCTCCAGGAGACGCGCTCTCCCTTTGGGATGCCAGGCCCAGGAAGCATGTGAGGAAGCAGGAATTAAGCCCAACATGTGATAAACAAAGACATCTCAGGCCACTGCCATCCCCATCATGGGTGCCAGCTGAGCCTGGGATATCTCCTGTGGACCAGCACCCTGCTGCTGTGATCCCCCCAGCTATGCCAGCAGAGATTTTGGAGGGGAATACTTACTGCAGAGGAAGCAGCACCGGTGGAAGCTCCTCCCATCACACTGCACCTCCTCAGCATGGTAGACAGTGCGGCCACAGGCACCGCATTTGTTGCCACCTCCCCAGTTTGGCATGGTGGTTCTGTGTACCCAGCCAGGAAGGAAGGGAGAAGGGGAGAGATTTGTTAAATACAGTGTCCTCCACCACCCTGGCCCCAGGACTGTTGGTGTAACAGGCTCCTTTAAACCAGATCTGCAAAGTTAATGTATCAGAGCACAACCCTGAGATTTCACCAACTGTTTAAAAATGTGACCTTCCACTGCATGAGAAGTTTTTGGGATCAATTCAACTTCCCCGCTCTTCAGATCCCAGACCAGACTTAAAGGCTTAGATGGGCTCTCTATGGCTATTTGTAAGAGCAGATGAACTGGCAAGGGGAACAGAGACTGCTGCTGCTGAACAGCAAGAAAAACCGAGACACAGTCTTCACGAGACATGTCCTCTGTCCCTGCCTGCGGATTTTGAAAGCTGAATAAATTGGATATGCCCAAATTACAGTTCCATGCACAAGGGCTTTACTGTACCTTGAATGAATGCCCCCTAGACCGATATAATTTCAGTTTCTATGCTTCATTAATGCTGGGCCTCTCATCTGATAGAAGCAAACCAATTGTGCCAACAATAGCATTTAGTTTTATTGCAGGGCCTGTCATTTGGGATGTGGTACGAGCCAAAGTTCACCTCACCAGAAAACCACTTATCAGGGCTGTAGGAACATTGTGAACTCCTTTGAGATCACACCTGTACTTCAAAGAAGTTTAAGGGAGATTATTTCCCAGGGACTCACTGCTATTACATCAACTGTACCTTTACCAGACAGGTATATAAACCAAACCAAACTGCTCAAGGAGCCACAGCTGCTTTAAAAGGAAGTAAAACTCCCTCTCACACATTACATGTTACTTGGAATGGACGCTCAGATGGCTAGTGTGCAGGGACAGGCACCTCACCCATTGTGCGAACCGACAGTCTCCTACATAAAGCCAGAAGCAGTGACCGTCCCATCTCAAGCTGAGCTGCCCCCTCCCCAGCTCCCCTGCACTCCCAACACCACCACCAGCCGCTCCCACTCAGCTTGACTGGGAGCTCCTCCTGCTCCTCCCATTAACCATCCCGGGTTAAAGTACCAAAGCCAAGCACTGCCCGTCACCTTTGGCTTTTCTGGGGTTTTCCTCCTCCCGCCACCACCATGAGATAACACTGCAGTGTTTGTTGAACACTTATCTCCTAGTCATCCCTGAACTGCCCTTAACTTGTGACTGCTGGGTAATGCTGGTTTGCTCTCCTGCAGCTCACCACCAAAGGACCACCTCTCGCAAGCACAGAGGCCAACAGCAGCCAGAGACAGGGTTACCGATTCAGCGAGCTTAACCCCGCGGAGCTGCTTAGGGCTCATCACCCTCACTGCTCCTTACTGATCCTCGTTTCAGAGAAGGTTTCTGGAAGAGGACCATGGGTTTGCCCACTGCCACCCTACCCCACCAGCACCACCATTCCCTCCCTGCAGACTCCCCACAGCAGCACTGCAGTACAGGTCAACTATCAGGAAGGGAGGGAGGGAAGGAATTTGTTGTGAGCTTCTGACATTTCTCTGGAAAACTCACCTCTAGAAGCTCTCCTATACTGGCCAGACAGGGAGAAGATACACACAACAGCATCCACACGCAATTCCCACAGTCTGCTGCCTTTATCAGCTTTGCCACTCATCCCTTTGAGCCAGAAGCAGAGGACTACCAATCTCCAGTCATCCCACTGGCCTACAAAGAGGAACTGGAAGCTCCACCACAGGGATCCAGACAGGAGCACTTTGGTGAGAAAAGCCCCTTAAAGAAAGGGGATCTTGAAGCAATGTGTGGGACAGGCCTCAGTGCAGAGCGAGGCACCTTGTGCTCCTCAGGCAAGGTAGAGCAGACTCATAAATAACAACTGAGAGCAGCAGTTTTGGCTGAATTATGTGACCCATATGGCTTGGTAAAACAAGCCTCCTGTCCAAGCAGCATGACCGGCAGTTCAGCAGTTTTAGGGATGCATGGTAGGTTGTGTGGTTCCCAAGACATGCTGCCAGGTAGCTGCTACAAGACCTTTGTCCAAGACAAGCAGCCAGCCATTCATGGCATGTGGCAAAATAAGATTAGTTTATTAACCTAAATCGGGGCATCTTAGGTACATTCCTAAGCAATAGCTTAGGAAACTTCCTCAGATTGGCTGAGCAGTGCTATTTGCACACTGACACCAATTACTGAGATAGCCCTTTGTTTAATACTTCCACAGGATTAGCATCATTACTGCTCCATGGTTTAGCACTAATACCCTGACCGAGCTCATAAAATTAGTTTTATGACATTTCCCACTTTGCTTTTGTCATTCTTGGCACAACTGTAGAGTCTAAAAATTAAGATTCCATTTCTTTTATTCAAGTGCTTGGCTGTGCTACTGCACAGCAGCTGACATTAATCATGGCAAAGAGCGTCCTTGGTTAAAGCGAATATAGGCTGCACAAAGCTTTGGAAAAGGAATGCATGGACTGGAAAAAAAGAAAAATGGAGAAGAGATTCCTTTTCACTCTGTATTCTTTCCAAAATGTAAATAGCGTTTGGTACAAGAAGTACTTATGTCTTTTCCTCTCACCATCCCCACTCATGTTCTTTTGGGTATTTACATGAGCCTAAATAATTTTAACCATTTTGTTAGTAAACAATAGTTTTCATGCACACTAGAGCCAAGGACCTGAATCAGGTTTTCAGCTTTTCCCCAGATTTCCCATGTAATATTGGGCAACACAGGGTGCAGCTCCACCCTTTCTTCCCAAGGGAGACAAAATATTAGGTGATCCAGCAACCTTTAGCTGACTCAAATTGTCTGATAAGGACTCTGAGAATTCATTAAATGAAAAACAAAAAGGAACTGAAGTAATTACTTCAAGGTGACCGTACTGTCTTCCACAGGAAGTATTTCCATTTAGCCTCCCCTTGATGTTCCCATGACAGCTTGCATGGGAAGAATGGCAATATTTTCTCAATCACCCAACAGCAAGAGCTGCCCTTACGGCAGCAGTGCCCAGGAGGCACCTTAGGGGAACAGGGCTGGTGACCTGAAGCAGCTCTGCTACAGGACAGTGCACAAACCTGTCCCCTGCCCACAAGCCACTCTCTCAGCACCACAGCCTCACACTGCCCTGATCTCCTCCCAGAGCTCCACAGGTAGCAGATTCAGACCTCATGTGCTGCCTTAAGCCTTCCCTGCTCCCTGAAGACTTTTTGGCTAGTTCAGGCAGGCCTCTGGGGAGCTCAAGAGCAGTAATTAAACATCCAGGTGACCTCATTACCAGCACCAACAATTCTGACTGTCGGTAACAGCTTTGTTGGCAGCTGCTTGAACCCAGCCAAGAGGGGAGCACGTTATTCGGGCAAGCCACGGCAGCCGCCAGGTCCTTTCCAACCCGTTTGTTAACAGCAGCTCTAAACACAAGGGGCCTAAGCCATCCCAAGACAGATATTGAGAAATTCCAGGCTATTCAATTACCCTGGACGGCTTTTTCGGCGGCCAGCCGGCGAAGCCCTGTGCG